AAATAAAAAAAAATAAAACAAAATTATAAAAAAAAAAAAAAAATAAAATATAATTTAAAAAAAAAAAAAAAAAAAAATTAAAAAAAAAAAAACCAAAAAAACTTTACAAAAAAAAAAAAAAAAATAATAATTTGCGTTATTAAAAAAAAACGCCTTTACAAAGAAATAAAGAAAAAAGTTTTAATTGTTCTTTTTTTTTTATTTTTTAGCTAAAAATGAATTAATATATTTTTGTGTAACGACTAACTAAATATATCCTAATCACGCTAAATACATACATCTTGACCTAAACGACAGTAGCTGTGGTTAAAGGTAAAAGTAAATTACCGAAATAATTATTGTATGAAGTAGATCCAATTTCTATAGTAGGTTGACTTGGATTGTTGTAAGAGTAGGTAGATGTGGCTATTCCGTTTATAGATGATGTGCGAGTATAATTGTTGTAGTTGTTGTTGTAGTTGTTATAATTGTAATTATTATTATTATTGCTGCTACTATTATTGTTATTATTATTATAATTAGATGAAGACGACGACGACGACGATGATGATAGTGATATTGGTAGTAAATATTGCAAGTTGTTATTGTTGCGATTTGTTGTTGTCGTCGTCGTTGTAGCTGTTATATTTGTTCTTTTTGGTGGAGATATCGTCATATCATCAACGAATGCTTCTTGAGCCGACCTTTTACAATTTCCGCAACTATTACCACCACAACTACTATTTATATTAATGTTATTAATATTATTATTATTTACAACAGAGATATTATCTTGATTATTATTATTGTTGTTGTTGTTGTTGTTAGAATCATCGTCGCCATAATTAATAAAACGCGTGATTTTTTGTAACCAATCATTGTAATGGTCTATTGAAACGAACAATTTGTATTGAAGGGCACTCAAGAACTCAATTTCCATGGTATTTATTTCAGCAACGGGTATCCTAGTCACTTCTGACCAAGTTTTATTAGTATAAGTGTTATCGTCAAGAAATTTATTTGCCAACATCAACGCGACAGTGAATGTTCTGTACTCGGAACCGTTCTGACCTTTTATTTTTGGATTACGTATTTTCATACGATGAATATAGAGTAGCGATAATAATACAGCAGGAAACGATATTTGAGTTGTAGCTAATACGTCCAAACAAAATTTCTTGAAGGGATCTTTTGGTTTGTATTCGTTGAATCTTTGGCAATTGACGTATGAACCACCTGGAGGAATTTCCAAGGATAATGACCAATTTGAAGAGCTTTGAACATCGATAATGGAATTACTGTTGCTATTAGTGTTATTTGATGGTTGTTGTTGATAGTCGCTGAACCAAATATAACATGCCATATGAGCAGCGAACTCAGAAATACGTTCGGGAAGGAGCATCATAAGTTGGTTTGATTTTAAATTGTTAATGATATTAATACTCATAATTAAAATTTGAAATTTTTTTTTGTTTACGATATTTTATATTAGTTGAAAAATTTTTAAAAACAAAAAAAAATAGATAATCGAGAGATTTTATACAAATTTTTTTTCCTATAAATAATATAAAAAATAATATAATATAATATATTTAATTTATATATATTTGTAATGAATAAATAATATAATACGATGATTATATTATTTTATTATTACTATTATTACTATTATTATGATGTGGATGATGATGATATTTAAAAAAAGAAGAATAAAAAAAACTAAATAAATAAAATAAATAAATAATAATAAATAAATAAATAATAACTAATAATTACAAACTAAATAAATTTTTAATTTTTTTATATTGTAAATTAGTAATATAAATTAAAACTCGTGTGTAAGTTAAGTGCAAAATGCGAGTAGTATAAAAAAGCAAAAAAAAAAAAGTTTGTGTGAAAGTTTATTATTATGCAATTATCTATATTATAAATGAATGAAAAAATCGGATTTATTTATATTGTCTGTCTTATTACATACAAATAATGATATTTTTTTTAGTCGTTGTTGATGTTTTTTTTTTATTTTTCATTTAAATTAAAATTTTTTGGCGGTTTTATTAAAAAAAAAAAAAACTAAAAAAATTGGCGTGATTGATTATTCATAATATAATAATATTGTAGATGAAGTAAAATGTGTGTGGTGAGGAGTAAGTAATGTGGTTTAATGTTGATATAATTATTTATTATTAAGAAATTTTATTATAGAAAAATGGGGGAGCATGAAATTTCAGGGATCAAAAAAATTTTTTGTTGAGTGATATGTTTTGCGCGTGTGATCAACAAACTGATGTATCACTGTATCACACGAATCAAATGATCAAAATAAGTTGGGATCTTTCGAATAAAAACATACAATAATCAGATATGATTATCTTTTTTTTCTTAAAATCGACTAGTTTATCCAAATTTTCTATCTTTAAACCGTTTAAAAACTTCATCAAAAGAAATGTATATGCACAGCACATCCGAAATGATTTATCTATTGAATATAAACACAACGAACATCCATGACGTTGTTGGT